GCCTACAGGCTTTTATTACCAGGATGAGGTATGAATTTGGAGCCACAGTTAATCTTGAAACATTCTATAAGGTGTAGAGAGATTGTGATTTGCAGTGATAGATAAAGTATCCATTCCAGTGAAATCTCAGATCTCTTTAAGTATGGGAATAGAGGAGTGTTTATTTATTTGTTTTTTAAGTCCCAAAATCTCCTTCTGGCTTTCAGTGGCTGTACTATAACTATCTGAACCCCACTCTTGACAGGTTTGTTTTTTGAAAAATATAATTTTAAACAATTAAGAATGGAAGGAAAATTCATTACACAGCATCTGCAAGTACAAGTACCACTTTGGCAGTAGGCAATTGCAACAGCACTTTTGTGTGTACCACATTTGACCTATCCCACCAAAATAGCCATTCAGAAGTCATTCTCCCCTTATTGAGAATGGGCCACCATATAGCATCACCCCATGAGCTGAGTGACATTGCCTATGATCACTGCACATTTCCAGGGCCATGGAGCCAAACTCATGGAATTAGCTTCATATCTTGTAGTTATTGTAGAACCATAGCCAAGAAGCACAGAGCTATGGAAGCAAAACTGTGTGTCCAGTGAGAAACTGCTCTTAAGCTATTCTTCAAGAGTGCCTTGAGCATTATAGTAGCTTAATATATGTTTGCTTATAGAATTGAATCATCTTAAGTTTCTGAATAGCTGATGTGGCTGCTTTGCTGATAGAGCAGTGTCCCAGAAGCTGTGTGACAAAAGCTCATTACCTTGGATAATTGGGAAGGAAGGTGAAAGGATTTCTTTCCTTTCTAGCAAGAGAGTGCTTTTGGTGTTGTTTCCCTGATGTCAAAAAGGGAGAATTATATTTAATAGTAACCTCTATGTTTATCTGCTTTGTCTCCCTCTTTTGACTTATAAAACTACTCAGCGAAACTACTCAGGACTGTCTTTCCATTGATAGAAACATCATAGCAAATTGTACAGTATGATTGTTACTTATTGAACATAAAGAAGAAACAGACTTTGCAAAAAAGCAACTAGATAGGAGATAGTCTGAATAACTTCATACAGGTTACATGGCCTTATATCTGGCCATGTTAAAGAACTCTTGTATCAGAGTTGGAAGGGATTTACTCCAACCCATTCCTAACCAAAGACCCCTTCTATTCATGACCCAAAAGTCATCATCAAGCCTCCACCTAAAAATCTCCAGTGATGAAGAGTCTGCTCACTACCTCCTGAAGCAGCCCATTCCACATGTAAATACCCCAGATTGTTAGAAAATTCTTCATAATATCAAACTTAGATCTCTCTCTCTTGCAGCTTCCACTGATTACTCCAGTTTCTGCCCACTTGGGACTATGTAAAACAAATATAGTCTCTTACACATGGCATCCTTCAAATACTTGAAAAGTTATCATTTAAGTTATTCTTTCTCCAGGATAATTATTCCTGGCTCCTTCAACCAGTACTTTTTTTTTATCTAGTCTCCAGTCCTCTGACCCTTCTGGTCACCTTCTTCTAGATGCACTCTGTCTTGGCAATGATTTCCTAAGTAGTATCCAAAACTGAATATAGTATGTCAGATAGATATACCCTATAGTCTGACTAGGTCAGAGGAGAGCAGAACTATCATTTTCCTCATTCTGAATCTTTTGCCTCTTTTAATTCAACCTAAAATAAACATTTGATTTTTTTACTGTTTCACTGCTGACTCTGTTCACTAAAATCTTCGTATCTTTTTTCATGTAAGTTGTTTTTTAACCCATGCACAAAAATGTTCCATTTGATTAAATTTCATCTTATTAGATTAATTGCATCATTCTTCCTCTCAAACTTTGTGAATTCTAAATTTGCCATCCAGGGACATGGATAGGCATGATCTTGCCTTTTAAGAAGTGACAATCTAGTAGATAATATAGGTAACTAATCACTCAAAAACTGTAATTAATATACTAATTATAAACATACAAAAAGGATGTTAAAGATTTTAGTATCAGAAAACTAAACTGAAAAATTGGAGATTAACTATAGAATAAGCAGGGTGACCATCTTGGAGTTATGCACCTATAGATCTTAACTATCATAAGAAGACAAATAGTTATTCCTACATTAGTGTTTCTAGGCTACTTTCACACATGGGAAATCGTGTACACCATAATCAGAGTCTTTGAATACAAAGGACAGTGATATAGAGTAAAATCACAAATATAATCACTTGGAAATATGTTGTGCACTGTGGAGGGAAAAGGACGAGCAAGGTAGCAGAAAAATGTGTACTTTATGTAAAAGAATCAGTTATTTCCAAGCATTTTAGTAGCACTGTGCAAATAATAAGTGATTAGCAGTTCATGAAAGTAGGACTTTAATTATGAAGACTCTGCCATTTCTGTGTATTTGGAAGCCATTACAAAGATACAAGATGGAAAGTAAGAGTCATATTTGTGAGGAATAGCAAGAAGGACAATTTGATCATAATGTAAGAGAAATAACATAAGGATTGGAGGCAGATTGGATCCAAGTTGTGAAGGGCTTTAAAAGCTAAAATGAAAATTTGCATTTGATCCTAAAAAGACAGCAGTCACCCATTGGTTTTATTAAGTAGAGTTGTGACATGATAAGACTTGCACCTTGAGGCAAAACGACTTTGAAGAACAGATTGGAGAGGGGAGAGGCCTAAGGCAGGGAGATAAATTAGAACATTATTGCAGTTGCCTAGGCTAGAGGTGAGGAGGACCTGAACTGTGGCCCTATGCATATCAAGTAACCAGATACAAAAGATGTGGAGGTAGAAATGACAAAATTTAACAATTGATTGGATCTATGGAAAAGAGACAGTGAAGAGTCTAATAAAACATCTAGGCTGAGAATCTGTATGATTGGAAGGTTGGTGTTAACCTTGACAGAAATAGGGCTATGAGGATAGGAAAGGGATGGCTAAATAGTTCACTATTGGACACATTTAATCAGAGATACCAAGGGGAGATCCTATTTGAAATATCCAGTAGGCAAATGGAAATGCATGACTGAAGCTTAAGCTAGAGAAATTGGCTAGTTATAATAATAATGATGATGACAATAGCTAGCATTTATGTGGTGTCTACATGTGCTGGCCACCGTATTAAATACTTTACAAATATTATCTCATTTGAGACTCACAACAACCTTGGGAACTAGGTGCTATTATTATCCTCATTTTACAGTTGAGGAAACTGAGGCAAACAGAGGATAAGTAAATTGCCCAAGGCACAAAGCTAATAAGTGTATGAGGCTGGATTTAAACTGAGGTCTTACTGATTCCATTGTCAGTACTCTAACCACTGCACCATCTAGCTGCCTCTAAGATATATAACTTTGGGAGCCATCTTCATGGAGATGATAATTAAATCCACATTGGAACTGATGAGATCACCAAGTGAATATAGAAAATATGAGAGCACAGGATAGAGCCTTGGGGTACACCCATAATTAAGAGGTGTAAACATGTTATGGGATGGTGGGTATGTTATTCACCCAGCAGTTTGTGACTGAATTTCTAAAATAGGTGCTGAAGAAATGGTTTAGTTGTGGGAATGGGAAGTGTATGGCCCTGGCAGAAAGTGTGTGGTAAGAAAATCTAACGGCCTAGGAGCAGGTTCATTTGATTATAACTAACTTGCTGTGAGTGGAGAAGGCAGGCTCTAGCAGAGACCAAACCACCCCAGCCACTTTAAAAATCAGAGACCCATCTTTAATGTGATCGTGTTGTGAAAGTTGAATAGAAATATTGCTTCAGTATAATTAAGCATCAAGAAAAGGGTGGGGCTTTCTGTAGAGACCTTTGTTTACCAAAATTTACCTTTTTTAGACAGAAGTTTATGTTGTCAGCCTTGTCCAAGATCATCTTTGTAACATATTGTAATAATTAAGTTGGCATCTGATCAAGGTGGTCCAATATATATGCTCTATATATAATGACAGATTTTTGAATGCTTGTCACAGAATGTTCATGATTATATGTATTATTTGTCTAGTTCAATTAACATGCCTTTTTTAATGTCTGATTAAAGTAATTAGCTCAAAGGGTTTAATGTTACCACATTTATACATATTTTCACATGCTTTATGAAAACTGAGAAAATTTTCACAAAATCTTCTTTTAACCACTCTAACATTCTTCCTTCTTTGAAACTGTGACTATATATAGCCAGTAGAAGTTTTCATAAGTGAAATGTGTTTTTCCTCGTCACAAGGCAAGACAGTTTTTAAGGGATGGCTAGTTTGCCACTATAAGTGAGAATGTCAAGCAGTTTGTCATCATTCATTTCTCTGTCTTCATCTACATGCCCTACTTCTTTCTCTCCTTCTTATCTCCCCACTTCATCTGCAGCCATAGGGAAAATGTTAGGATTGAGATGGGACTGCAGCAATTATTTGTCCTCCATTTTCTGGAATTCAGTGATAGTAAGCCCCAGACCTTAAATTTGAAAGTACAGGTGATTCTAAATATAAATGCTGTCTTGTAATCATCTGCAAATCATCTTTTTCTCAGAGACAGAGATGCCAAAACCCTGTAGTCACTTTTCATTTTTAATTGAAGTTTTCATTGACACAAGAAACTGTAGAAGGGAGGGAAAAATTTTAGGCTATGGAACTTCCAATATAACTGCCACTAGGTAGGCCTTAGCTTTGGGGTTTGGACTTGATGACCTCTCAGGGCCCTTTGAGCTCTTAACCTGTGATTCTGTGGCAAATTATTATTACTGATTAATAAGTAGGGAGATTCTCAAATAGTAGAAAAAGTTGCCAAAGAGGCAGTGGTCCAGGAACAAGATATTCATATAACTCACTTTAACCTACTTTAGTGAAAAGATTCTAAAGAAATTATATAAACAGGGAAAACTCTTCATCTTCTGCTTCTTCACTTGAATCATACTAACAATGTTTCATGGAGCAAAATCAATTACAGAAATATACTTTGGGAACTTGTTCCAGGAAAATAACATTAATAAATGTTTACTCTATTCAAAGGGAAAAGAAAGGAAAATACAGCAGTTCTGATATGGCAGAGGTGAAGTCAATGTTCCGAGAAGTACTTCCCAAACAAGGTAATTACATAATTACCCCCATCAGTAACACTTACTGGTCCCTACAAAGCATAGGTAATATACCAAGAATTTTTTTTTTTTTAGTAAGCATTCTACGTTAGGATATTCTTCTAGTTTTCAGACTCTATGATTGTTTCCCACAACTGCTACCACAAAAAGTTTGCCCCACTTCTTCAAACAAACTTAGTTTTTAGGGGATGAGAAGCCTGAGCTTCCTAAGAAAAGAGTGATGCAAGGGAGATGTGCCAGAAATCTTGCTGCATTAATATTGTAACCTTTAGTTAAGATACTTAAGTTATAAGCTTTTGTTTCTTGCAATTTAAAATGTTTATGAAAACCACATTACATATTACAGGAGTTTTATATATATCCATGTGTGACAGGTTGTTTTTTTTTAAAAGCTCTTCAGGGATGTTTTTAAAAAAATTTTTTTTCAGAATTTTTAAAAGCCCTTGATTTGGAGTCAGATGACTTGAGGTTGAATCCCCTTTCTATATCCCCTTGCTGAATAACCTTGCTATTATTCCTTGTGTAACCTTGGACAAGTTATTTATCTGTGCCTGTTTCCATCTGTAAAGTTAGTGAGTTGGGGGCAGCTAGGTGGCATAGTGAATAGAGCTCTGGCCTTGGAGTCAGGAGGACCTGAGTTCAAATCCAGCCTCAGACACTTAACATTTACTAGCTGTGTTATCCTGGGCAAGTCACTTAACCCGATCACCTCACCAAAAAGCAAAAAAAAAAAAAAATTTAGTGAGTTGGTCTGATTCTCCAGGGTCCTTTCTAGTCTAAATCCTATGATCCTCAAATCTCTCCTTAAACATTTTGAAAATATGGAACATCTGTGTATCCAAGTTCTATGATCTGTACCTTGCTTCTAATAAATAGGTGCATGTGAAAGTCAAGTCTCCCGATTCCTTTAACCCAGAAGTCAACAACCTTTAAAGGGAGAAGGCATGTTTTTGTTAATACTCTTAGAATCATGTGAGAGAGTGTGGCTTACTGGATAGAGGATTGTCCTTGGAAGTCTGAAAAACCTAGTTTATTGAAATCTTGACTTTTACATGTATTTTGTGACCTTAGAAAAGTCTTCAACTTCTCAATGCTCCAAGCAGCTAAGACTCAAAGTTAAACTCTTAGGGGCAAGGTAGTTTTCAACACCCCTTGTTATCCTCATTGTCTTCCCTTGGATATGCCTTAATAATAAAAATAGGGATGGGGACTGGACTTATTCATTGAATATGAAATTTGAATTAAAAGTTCCTCCTTGAAAGAAGGGACTGCCTTTTCTATTTGTATCTCTAGCACTTAGCAGCATATATAAGAAGTTAATACTTCATTCATTGTATAAGGAGCTCCCAGGTGAGTAAAGTCCTACCATTTCCAAGTTTGCAACTGCTATCTTGTGAGTTGCCTAGAGCACTTGAGAGGTTGAGTGACTTGCCCAGGATCAGACAGCCTGTATGTCAGAGGCAAGATTTGAATCCAGGTCTTCCCAGCTCTGAGAATAGCTCATTATCCACTATATCACACTGTTCTTAACCATTTCCTGCTTCAAATGGAACACACTATTTTTAAATTTGTCTGACCCTCCCTAGATTTGCTAAACATACACCAAGGATCCAAACTGATTGTGCAATTTGGAGGACCCTCAGGTGTTTGGTAACCTTCCAGGTATGCAAATCCTAATCCCTCTATTGCCTCTTTAACTTTGTGGAAAATTTTAAAGGAGTAGGAGCCCAGATCCTAAATCCAAGCCAGCACTTCATCTGTCTACTGTAGCAAACTGCCTCACACACCTAGATTTTCACTTGTCAAAAGGATTAATAAAGAGTAAGTATTTTTGACTTCCCCAGTCAATAACTGGTTTGGCAGTACTCTATCCTGGAAGACCTTTCGTCTCTCCTTGGCTGCTCTGGTCCCAGCTATATCATTACAGGTATCAGCAAAACTCAAACCACGCTTCACTGGCTTTACGTAAAATACTTGCCATAGTCCACTGGCAGCCATTATTATTTTAACTTCTCATCATACCTTTGTTATTGTGAAAGTGCTCCGGGAAGCTTCACTTCCAACCTCAGTTTTAAGTACAAACCTAAAACATTCCACTTCTTTACTCAATAATCCATTAATGTTTATTTCTCTTTAAATATAGGTCAGTTGTCTGTGGAAGATGTGGCCACCATGGTGCTGTGCAAACCCAAACTTCTGCCATTAAAATCTCTGACTCTTGAAAAATTAGAGAAAATGCAGCAAACGGCACAAGAAACTATTCGCCAACAGGAAATGGCAGAAAAGGAAGAGCACCAAACAAAGCAATGAATGAATGATTTATTCATCAGTTTTGGTTATTTTTACTTGCTATGATAGTTTTCAAAATAATTCATATTTGTTTGCTAATCCTGAAATTTGTATTAAAGTTAAAATTCATTTAAAATAAGGGGATAAGTATAAGTCATCAAAACAACATAATGAATTTAAGCTTTTATAATTCCTATTTTAGACTATGGTCCAACTTTCACTTTGGCCATATTTTATTTTAATCTTTAGTATTCCGTTTAGTGATTGCTGGAATTCTCAGTTCTACCACAAGATTGCATTTGTCTAGATGTTGTTCAACATTCCTATTTTTATCAATTTTAGAGGTCCAACAACCCATAAAATGTGTAACTTCTGAAAATTCTACACATTGGCCTTTATGCATGATATATCAAGACTAAAAATGAAGTTTATTTTTTTAAGTGTTTTGAGTTTTTCAATGGAAAGCGTTGGGGAGAGAAAAATACTTAAAAAACAAAATTATAAAGCTACTGCATAAGCATATACACATATACACACATATTATGTATATATACACACATATTATATACACGAACACACACACACACACACACACATATATATATTTGAAAATGCATTCAAATCACATCAAAAATAAGCTAAGTTTCTTTTTAATGATTCACCTGGGAATCTGAAGCAGAGGGAATGAGTAGATTTGTGAAACAAGATTTCATGGTAGACTGCTTTTACTTTCATTTGATAAAAACTGCCTATGTGGTACACAGCATTTTTTAACAGAAGTTACAGTCAATCTTTCTTGGCCAGCAGGAACAAAATAAATGTAGCAATATTCCTGAACAATAAAAGGCTGTCTTTTTTTAAATACATATCTGTCTTAGCATGCTTTAGACTTTACACCCACATCTTGGTAGTCACCTTTACAGATTTTCAGTTCTAAAACAGTAGTAATAGAAAAGAGGGGAATCCTAAGATCTTTTTAATCATTAGTCTAACTAACTAACTACACAGTACTTTTTAAAACTGAATAGAAAAGTTAGATAAGCTACAGAAAGCCTAAGAACAAACTGTTACTCAGCTCCAAACTAATGATTGATAGAAGTAGGTCTATAATTTATATCAATAAAAAATTAAGAGTTCTGAATATTTGTATTTCAACGTGGTACAGAATAATTTAAAATAGGCCTTCAAGCTCTGCTACACAATTGGACTGAGTCTGAGATTACACAGTGGGCAAGCACTATTTTCAACAAGGATTAAAAATATGACTTATGATACCCTTGGCTTTTGTTATTTAACAAAGCTAATGCTACATTCCTATAACTGTCAACTTAAGAATGTCAGTGGGTTTAAATCTCATGCAAATTTCTAAACACAATTTTCATCTACTCCTAGGTCAATTACTAAAATGTTAGGGAGAATCTTCTTAAGTCACAGATTTTCCAATGTAGTTTTGAAAGAATGTTTCCTACATTTGTTCCCTGTCTCCAAAAGAATACACACATCATTAAATTATTACTTATTAGCACATATTTTTGGTTTGCTTTTAACTATTCATACATTTTAAATTACTACTCAATCACAAGAAAAAGAGCTTTTATAACTGCTAAGTTCATTAATTTTGAAAAGCTGATTATTTGAGACTTTGAAATTCATGTAGTAGTATAAAAAACTTCATATGCACAATTAAATGAGTATAACTTATTGAGAATTCTCTAAATAAAATTTATCTTAATAAAGACGCAAAAATACTGCTTCACAAATTTTATTTTGTAATACATTCTTCCAGAACCTGGTTCATTTTTCCAGTTTTGTAGAAAAATAGATGTTCCAGCCACCATTTACTGAACTGTCTAGTCTTTAAGACCAATCAATATGTTCCCTGGAAAGATGAATAAATCTTATGACTAACCCATTTTCTTAAAATTCTTTAAAACAAAGAAATAACCTTTTGTTCTCCCAAAGCACAGTATTTCAACAGCAGCAGCCAACATGGGGTTTCAGCAGCTTAACTTCACCCCCTATATAAAGCTTTGTATAAACCAGTGATTTTACTACAAAAACACTGTCCTTGAAAGGAAGGAGTGGCAGTCAGACATCAATGCAAAACATGGAATGATTAGGTCATAAACATGGCACTTACAAAAGGGTAGCTTATTTGAATATACCACTTCAGAGTGGTTATTGTTCTGTTCCCTCAACTTTTATACCCACAAAAAAAAAAAAAAGAAAACTCTCTTTAAAAAAAAAAAACCCACCTTGAATGTAAGTTTATAAAACTATATCAGAAATGCCTTGTACCCAAAACAAGTGCTTAAAAAAAACTGCTAAGCAACTCTTACAATTCAGACATATTTTTATAACATCTAAGGCTGCAAGAGTTCTTAAATTCAGTAGCTCTCTGGCTTAAGACGACCTCCATCTCCTTCACTTACAAAGCGCTTTCTGCCCCTGAAATAAAGCACACAATCACAAAATTAAATATAAATCTTGATTACAATCTTTATTTCTTTATACCTAAAACAGTAAAAGAACTCCATATTTTGGCATATACTACATTCTTTTTTAATAAGGGGAGGAACGGACTCATTTTTCTAGCAATTTCCTTTAAAAAATTTTCTGTTCAATTTTTTTAAATTTAAGCTGAAATTGAAGCTTGTTGAATTTTGCTGTTTTCAGACTGTATTGTATGAGCATTTTTATGGAACTAAATATTTGAAGCCTGAGATGGCTAGCCTTCCTATGTGCTGATTAAAAACATGGAAGATTTTTAGAAAAAAATCAGTCCTGGTTATCTAAAATTCCACTCACAACACACCTCTCACTATATACTTTGGGCCTCCCACTAATTCCTATATGATCTGAGCCAAGGTTCTATTCTATACCACCACAGATTATGAACTGGAAGTAGCATCAGTTCAGGAGGAAAAGGGACCACAACAACAATGAACAGCAATCACTTTTTGCTTTTGGATCTAGTTAACCCTGAAGACCAGGGTGGGGAAGCCAGAAAGTCAAAGTTCTTATGTACAGATAAAATTTGCCTTTTGCCAAATTACCACTGGAACAAAAAAGGCCAACAGAAAATACGCAGATTAAGCTTCAAAACTAAGAATAAGCAATACTGTAAAAGGGGTGGCTGAGACAGCTCACTCCTTTTCATTTGACATGCCCCAGAGATAGACTGCTGATTGCTGATCAATAAGCAGAGTAGAGGTGAATAACGGCTATCAAAAGACCTAAGCATAAGAAAAGTGAGTGTACACTCATTAACTTTTGTAGTACCAATGACTCCTACTAGCAACAGAACATGTGACTATATTTGGCAAGAATTCCTGGGCTTTCCAATCCCTGCTTTATATGAGTGTGAAGAAAAAGTTATGTCACACATCAACCAGCACTTAGAATCAATATTAAAAAGATGCCATAATTTAAGTCTTACTGGACTCTGTAAAAATCAACCCAATGGCTTTCAGTCTTTCTCTACTCCCATATCACCAGTGGGATGTCTTCCCATTCCAAAATTTATTAAGGTAAAACTAGTCTGAAGATTTCTAATATTCTTCAGGATTTAAGTGTCAAAAGTGTTCTTTTATCTTAGAAAAATACTCAGATCTTTAAAAGAGCTTAGATAAAAAATAAAAGGCTGCTCTCAACCTATGCTCCTTCTAGAAGTTTGGTGATATCTGATATATGGAAAGGCAACATCTTATGGTAAAGAAACCAAAAAGATACTTTACTTCTAATTTAAGCAGTCCAAACCATATTTAACCTCAAATACTTATTTGTGGCAATGAACACGTTATTTCCTATCATTAGTAACGCTGGGTATCTTAGCCTAAGAGTAGGAGTAAAGGAAAAATTTGCACACTTTCAGCAATGTGAATTTTTTAAAACCACTCAAGATTCTTGATTCTTAAAATCAATTAAAATTAAATTTATTCTTAAAAGCACTAATGAAGCAAAACACTATCAAACAACATAACATACCCCTATCCTGTTAGAACTGATAATTGACCCCATTCTCCAAACCGTGGACTGGTGTGAACCATTATAAATTTTTTTTAAAAATCTTCCATAGGCTTCTATAGCATTAAAATAAATTCCTCTAAAGACAAAGTATAACGTCAACCCTTCTATGACTTCAGAGGGCATACTAGTGTACTCTTGAAAGATTGGCATGGTATAAGTCTTACTGATTACAGTCATTCTTAGCCTTCTAGAATATGTATTGCAGCTAATACTTATATGTTACATAAAGGAAAGAAGCAATTCAAAATACCTTGAAGGACAAAGATCTCTGAGTGGTTTGGAAATTATTCCAGCTTGAAAACATTCTTCTACAAATCTCTCAAGCACAGAATATGAATGTGGGACATCCAGGTTAATGTCTGGTATTTCACTATAAATTCTTTCATAACCCTGAAACAAACATGACTTAATCATTATCTATAAAAATGTTAGTCCATTTAAATTACAATGCTAGGCAATACCATCAACCAGTATGTCATCAAATGGTATTTAAGGACACATGCCCATGATTTAAACTGGTACAATATGCTTCTTGGAGAATACAGAAAATAGATTTCTTTTTAGAAATACCTCCATCACATTCAGGCCATTTTCAAATTTAAGACTTGTAAATTGAGAGCAGATAAAAGTCTTGATGAAGATGGACACTTCATTAATAATGGATAATATTATACAAGCAATGCTACCCATTCACCCTATTACTCTGTGTAGACTTGTAATTTTTACTACCTGAATAATGAAATAGAAGGCAAGAGAAATAAACTAAGACATTACACTAGTCAAATTATTTCAATAATACATAAAACATAAAGGAAAGGTATGCAGTTAAAAATATAAGAATTTAAATAATAATAATAATAATGATATGTTTAATGCTGTCTATAGACAACATATTTATCTTAGGGATAAAATATTTTACATTCACACAGTCACACATCCAAATAACTTCACACTAAGGACAAATTGAGCCTTCATCATCCAGTAGGTAGTCATATTCAACATCCCTATAACCATAAAGACAAAAGAGCCCTATTAGCATACCTAACACTAGAACTCTTAAAACAGGTGAGGAAAATCTTTCAAGGTAACAGAATACTTACTCTCTTCATTTGGTCCACAGTAATGGTAGAAGATTTCCAAAGGGATTTTAATAAATCCAATACCATTTTAAATGTACTTTCTCCAGTTGACTCCAGAACCATCACGATTGCCTAAAATAAGTGCCAAAGTTTAATGAGTAATTTGAATTGGAAAGAAATTTTAAAACTTTTTATGAAAATCCTTTTCCCATCATTTACATGAGAAGTACATGTTGTCTTCAATACTACACAAGAATTAGAAAACAACTCTACTTTCTAATTACTATAGTTAGAAGAAAAGATAAAAAGATAAAAATAAAGGGAAAATGTCAGCACTGTCCAAAAAGATTAACACTTGAAATCTCATGTCAATCTTACTTCATACACAAGTTCATGGTGAAAATGAGGTACTTCTAGTTCTTTAAGGCAATGTTCAGCTTCGGATATATCTCCAGAAAGTAAGTATTCTTTCAGCAGCATGTCAATCTGTTAGATTTTAAAATTAACAGGTAAGTTATAAATACTGACTTTTTCTAAAAATTCACTTCACATAAGGAAAAATACTTACTCTTCCCCACTGATTTAAGTCCCTTATTTTATGGTACTTATTCCAAATCAACTAAGAACAGCTAACAGTGCTATATGGCTGAAATTTGAATAGAATTTTTTTATAATAAAAAAAACTTCCAAATCTAAAAACAACTGATAAGTGAGCTGAGGAGAATGGGAGACAACTATACCTACTCAGTGACCTGGTG